GAGAGAAGTTGATGGGAGCTTTGCCAGGATCCAAATAAGCAGAGACTTGGCACCAACAAAACTTTCCTTAATCTTTACTGCGTTTACCAACAGTTTGTCCTCTGTCAGATAGGTTAAGATCATTCTTCTTTTGCAAATACTTTAAGCTCGACTGCTGCCAAAGCTTTTCTTTAACTCCCGCCTGCCGTTTCCATTGTGTCCCCCATGATGACATGAATACTTGAGAAGCTATAAGGCAGTGCAAACCCAGGAAGCTCCTGTGTATGACCAGCACAGCAAAGAAACACGGTGTGGGGCAGAGCCTTTCTCTGACCCAGGGCAGCGTGTCACAGCATCTGGGTCCCACCCAAGGCACAGACTGGCTGTGGCATGCACAGGGCAGGTCACACCAATGGGAATGAAAGTGCAGGAGCCAGGAGCTGGGGTGGTTTCCATTCAATTCTTCCAATGTATTTTCCCAAATTGCATTCTCTGGTGTCCAATTAGAAATTAAAGACCTTTTTCTCCTTGCCTGGGACACAAGGATGCAGTAAGAGCAGTAGTTGCAGGATAACATGGTATGTGATAGTGATAGATGTTTTCAGAACTACATGTTTTACTCACAGACCACTGCAAAATTTTTCACTCCTACACATCAAGATTAATTGCTTACAGCAAGTCACAGTTCTCCTACGTTCACCAGTAACGTGAATTACTGGTAATTAATTACAGTACATACCAGTACCAGGTACTAATCTGCCCTACATCTTCTATTATATGTTCATTTGCCCAAAGTACAGCATTCTATAAGCAGAGCAAACATGAAGCAGGCGATTGCAACTTGCCCAGAATTACAGCCCTAAGCTGAGAGCATACAATCTTCAAATGTTCTTCGCACAGAAACCTATTTCTCTATCCAAAATCCCTTCTGAAGCTGGATTCTGTTAAAATTGCAATTGCCTACACTGCTAAAAAAGTATTCGCAGCATGCTGTGCTCCCACAGCACTTCATTCCTAAAAATCATTGCGACTCCTTTCAGATTAAAGATCTGTTAAACCATTTGGACTAAAATTTGGAATCTGTGTCTACAAATCTAGCACCTCTTTCAAGTCAGACAGAAATAACTTTCGGACAAAACATCGGCATTAAGTATCTTAGAGTACAAATGTTTTCTTAGGCCTGTTACAAAGAACGTTGGATAAAAAGGCATGAACAACAACAGCGTAATCCAGCCCATACATCACCTCCTGCTTCTGGAATGGGCCTGACTCCATTAATTACAGCCTCAAAGAAATTATCATTATGGGAACAGACAGGTACCCTGGGCAGTTCCAAGACATTTTCATCCAAAGGCGGGCTGCTCCTGCCAGCCCCTGCTTCGGTGGCCTCTTCCATCGACCTGCCCCACAGGGACCTGCCGAGACGTTGAGCGACAGCTGCTGTCAGCAAGGGAGGCGACAGAGTGAGGAGTCTCCCCGGCTGGTGTTAACAAACCCGCTGAGGAGACGAATGCCTTCAGCTGCACTTTCACACCCTGGAATTGCTTTCTGTATAAAGCAAAATCTCACTTGTAAAAAGCCTAATCTGTAAGAGGAGTACGGGTGCTTAACCTCAGAGCGCTGAATTCTCACCTTCCTCTTGAGAAATAATGGAAGTCTCTGTCCTGCATGTATGGCTTCCCACCCACCATTTCTGAAATATTCAAAATAATCCAGGTAGCCCTTTCAAATAAACCAGCTCAGTTATCAGGGGGAAAAAAAAAAAAAATTACCTGATCTATTGGCCAGAGGAAACACACCTTACAACACACTCGACAGTTTTTCACATATGCAGCAAAGAATTTACTTTGTAGAAAAATGTCATCCAAAATAATTACTTGCTTATTTCTAGGAGTTCTGAAATTTTGAAGTGGATGAAGGTTTTGATTTGTGAGCAAACCGTGGTCTTAGTCGAAAATGCTGTACAACACGATAGCCTCAAGCAAGACATCTGATACAACTCCCACTGAATCACCACTTTCTCATATCATTTCTATATTTTAGAGGACTTCTAAAGACTATATAAAACCAAATATCAAATTCCTTTTATCCTCCTTTGTCCCTATATGTTATTACTGACAATGCTCCCTATTTCACCAGTTTATTCCAAAGCCCAGTCCACACTATATCTGAGGTTATTGTGAAGAACAAACGGGAATGATGTCCCCTGAGTTTTTGCTACCCAAAAGCTCTTATGAGCTTCCCCCAGGAACATCAGAATCAAAAGCAACCATGGCAGGCTTTACCATATAGACTTTTACGAATTTCTTTCAGTTGCTAATAATTTAGTTGATGTAATCTCTTTTCACATGGATTCACCTGAGATGATGGAAAACTACTGGTACCAGTAGAGGAGTCCACTGGGAATCTTAACCACCACCACCAAGGTTTCACCTGCAACAGCAGGTCTTCAGCCTGTGAGCAGACCACCTTGCCTATTTAGCTCTGCACTTCTTGTGGCTGTGGTTGCTCCTACTCCTCCTGGCAAGCAAAATATGTTACGAACAGCTGCTATTCCTCCTTCTGCTGCTCCCCCTCAGTGGGAGGAAGGCAAAGAGGGTTGCCAACAACGTAATGGCTCAGCTGAAGCCAGCTATTTGTACACGACAACGCAACCAGGCAGCCCAGTCTTGCAGGCTGCTACTGCCTGCATGTACGGACATCTGGATGAGCACAAGTCCTTGTAGGGTAAGGCCTGTGGTACTGCCTTTCACATCATGAACCACCTCAGATGTAAATAATACTCTAAATACTTTAACTTCTTTCAGCTGCGATACAGAAGAAGAGCCAATCCAATCACTAGTGAGGTCCAGGGTTGCATTTTCACTAATGACAGCAAGTTCTGTCAAGCCCAAACATTTTCAAGCACAGGGATCTGGAACTAAGGGTGCAGCTCTACACTCACTTTAAGCCAATATCATCATTTTCTGAGCTGTCATCGGAAAAAGGTCTGGCCCTCTCCTTTGTGCTGCATTTCCACTTATTTGAGATGGATCAAGTATAAGATCTGGCTGAAAATTCATGGGGTTTTTCTTCTGAAGGAGAGAGGGCAGGGGTCCCTTCTGCAACAGTTCTCCTTCTGTTAGTTTAAAATAGTTTTCACAGTACTTACTAAAAACTGCCCAGCCTGAAAAACAACATCCAACCCCAAACACAAGAGAAAACACAGTCTGTTAGAAAACATACGGTACTAGAACAAGGCCCTCTGAAGTCTTGAAGAGCTCTTTGAGAGATACAAAAGACCATTGCTCCTCAACTGCAGGAACTGTAATTAAAACGGAACATGATTTTGAAATTGTGTCTTTTCTTGCACAAAAAAATATTCTCCTGATTTCCTAGAGAATGTAGCATGATTTTCAACTGTCATTATTGACATATTAGACTACAATAATGTAAAAATATTTACAGTCATCCCAATGATGGTGCAGTATTTTCTCAATAGAAAAGAAACTTTTCCAGAACGTCCTCTGGACCATTTTCCTCCCTACATAGAAACAACTACACCTATTGTCACACTGTGCTATTATTATTTCTTAGCATGCCTCAAATAAAGTGAAAATTCACTTTCTTGTGCCTGTTAGAGCACTCGCAACCAATCCATAATCAGTGTCCAAATAGCACTCACAACCAATCCATAATCAGTGTCCAATCAGAGGAATCGACCGAACAAGTACAAACAGCGTCTCTGTGGCATCTACCCCTCTTTCATATTACAATATCATCCAACTGAACCAAAAACTGTTGTCATCCATGGATTCATTTTGAAATAAAGCTTGAACAGAGGACTTCTTGCTGTGCCATTCTCCGAAAAAAATTCCCTGCAGCAGTATGTCTTCCTTTAAATATGTCATTGTTAATGGAATTAATGTGTTGTAGTGGATGAGCAGGTTTACATCTCAGGTCAGTTACTCGAGCAATTATTACCATTGAGAAAGACGAACCAGTATACAATCAGCTGATGAAGATATGTGAACCCAGCAGATAATAACTATGGCAAAAATATCCTAGAGTCATGAGGATACACACAAAAAAAAGCTGATCTCTTTATGCTCACTATTAGTATATGACAGCAAATTCACTCCCTGCTTCCCAAATGCAAGCTGGTTCTAGTTCTCGCTAGCTAGCACATTAAAACCATCAATCTCACTGCAGAGGTATATTTATAAATGTCAGTAAGTCAATTCAGCACAAACACTGGACTCAAAAAAAAGTTTTGTTTGACAGTTCTTACTGCCTTACCACCTGGGAAATGAAAATACCCACATGTCACTGCTTACAAGACTGTTTCTCATATGTAAAAGAACTTCTAATTTTACATCTTCACATGACTGCTAACTGCACAAAGTTCTCAATTTATCATCATATAAATAAGTCCTTGTCCATACAATGCTACAGAATATGGGCACATGAGAGAAAGAGATCAAGGAGAGCCCGCTTCAAGAGAGAAGAGCGAGAAGAAAGGGAGGCAAACAGAGAATGTCCTGATTTCAGACCCATGAGAAGAAAGGAAAGAAAACCCCAAATATCCCAGTTTGACACTCATCCAGCAAAGACCCAGCAGAAAAGAGGAGCTTTGAACTGTGAATGGAAATGTAACAAACTTGAGCTGTGGTGAAGGGTCAGTGGGAACCAGTTTCATAAACCTAGTGTGGAATATGCTTGAGTATACATGGATGAAGAAATGTGACTTGTGAACGATTTTAGATGCAGTTCCTAAGTCAGCCAGAATATGTATATGTATACATTTACACAGTGAAAACATTTGCATTTGGTACTCATTAGAAAACTTTCATCATAAGCTCCAGTCATATATTAGTTTGGAGCCATAACTATATTAACAGGATATAAACTTTTCAGTGGGGTAGTAATACTTAATGAAGTACAGAAAAAATAGAAATAGGTCTTTAGACAAAACACTTTTTGCTCTCAGATTTTATAAAAAGGCTGGCATTAACTGCCAAAGTATTAAACTGAACACTTACCTTTTCAACCGGGGTATTTTCCTCACTCGTTACACTTGCTTTTCTTGATTCATTTTTTGTTCTGCTCAGCCTTCGGGACACTTTTTCTCTAAGCAAAGTGGCATATCCAATGTGTTCATAGATGGGGTTTGTTGTCATTTTGGAAATATACTCAGAAGCCTTTGTTTCTATATACAATGTTATCAAGCCATCTGTAACTAGATCGTGGATGGATTCGAATCTTTTCTCCCCAACAAAGTGCTTCCCATCATAGAACAACCTGTAGTTTAAGGTCTGATTACCAAATCTGCAAACATCAGAAAAAAAAGGAGGGAGATAAGAGTAAGAGAAAGAACTTCTACTGGCAAAACACTCAGGAGGTAGTTTGGCTGATGGGTCTATACATCTAGATTGCATATGGAACATGCACATGGCTGCAACTGGATCTTTGCATACACAAAATCAAATTCAAATCTAAACCTGACTGCATCACAAGGACTGGGCCAGAGAATCGAGGTCACACAACCCAGACGTATGGGCTTTAAATCTAAATCCTAAGGGGATGACCATAGCGATCAGAGAGCTGTGTTTGCACTGACAAGACCTTATAGCAGGCTGTGTAATTATGTGCTAGGGGCTTTTCCGTTCCAAAATGTTTCCGAGGTGCAGAAACGGGACACATAATCACCTGAGCGTATTTACAGTCAGTGAAGAGAGATGGGCATCCCTAGCAAGTAATTCAAATCCTAAGGGATCTCAATCAGCCAGGGAGACCAAGTGCCTAATTCAGGTGCACAACTAAACACCCAAAGTTCTGTGGGATAACTCTGGCCCTATGAAGCTATTCCTGGCAGGTGTAGTCTATATTTTTTTTTTGAAGAGTTTTAAAAGTCAAAGTAGCACATTCAGTTTGTAACACTGATGTTGGAATCCCATTACTGATCGAAGGATTTGAAGATACGATATTGGGTTAAATGGTACTTAGATTTCATCAAGTGTGCATGCCCCAGCATGCTTTGTTGGGCATTCAAACCAAACTGTTTAAGCCTCTTATTTTTTCACCCACATTTTCATACAATTCCCAATTTACTATAGAATTCAGTTTATGATTTTACAAACAATTATTCGGCCGGATTTAGAAATCATTCTGTTGTGTCAAAACAATGGGCACTTTGCCATAATCCCCATCTTTTGATAGTTCTTTTTATTCTTTATTTTGAAATCTCTTTCCAAAACCTTAAAAAATTACATTTGTTCTTTTTCAGCTGACAAAAGTTGCTTTTAATTTACACCACTTTTTAGTTGGCATGACTCACCAGCTTCTCCAGCTCTACCATCTGCACATCAATATGAATTCCGAGGATGATTTCAGCACTGTATCACTGCTACTTGGGATAAAAGATTTTTCCTACTGGCTTAGCCGCAGAAGGGTAAAAATACAGACTTTTGCATATATCCCACAGAAATAATAATGCTATATACATTGGAAAATATTGCCAAGGAGATTGTTTTGGAAAAATCCAATAGTCCTCTTGCCGGTAAGTCATTGCAGCTTCAAGACTGTCGCATGGGCAGGTTGTGAATAGCGCAGCTGAGCCAGGAAAGGCACCAGTGAAGGGCAGTAAGGTTGCTGATTGGGCTCTCACTGCATTTTTCATTCACCTGAATAGCAGACTCTTACTTCTCTGAGCAGCAGTGCTTCACACTGTATTTCTACAGCAAGCTTGAATTCCAGTTAAGGGAGAAAACTCAAGTCAGGTATGTTGCCTCTGGCAGCTGATCAGCCACTAGCCTTCATGATTTTCCAGGTTTATCCAGGATTATTATCGCCCACGGTTACCAGTGTTTGTGTATAACACAGCACACTCTGCTCAGAGGACAATGCGGCTGTGTCCCCTGCCATGACCCCCCCTGGCTCTGTCCTCCCTCACATCTCTTACACAGTTTTCAAGAAGTTCCATCTTTACAATACTCAACTCTATGTAGCAAAAATTTTGAGAATAGGCACAGTTTGCATCTGAAAAGGGACTTCCTAGCCAAGTGCTACAGGAGTGTCTGAATATTGCAGCATTGTGATTGTCAAACCCCTGACAAAAGAGTGCACCATCACTCTGACACCATGAAGTTGATTAATAAACAGTGGACATTGACTTCATTCACGAGGGACTAATATAATTTCCTCCATTAAACAAATTTACATTTGAACTATAAATCTCTATTAAAAGAGCAGTTACCTGAGAGCAAGAGTGTAGCAGCCAGGTTGCCGTTGGCTTTCTCTAAGAATATATGCTCCTTCTACGCCAGCAAGTATTTCATCTGCTTGCTCCCGAGAAATGATCCCGTGAAACCTAAGGGGAGACATTTTGGTGATTTACAGAACAATTCAACCAGAAATACCTGCCCCTCCACCTCAGAAACCACTCAAAAACTTCTGCATTTTAGAGTGTCACGGTCTAGGCCATTGGAACAGCACTCAAACATCTAAAAGTGGCAGGAGAGTCTTCTGGGCAAATCCCACATAGAGGCTAAATAAAAATGACACTGGATATGCAGTTTCAGTCAGTATGACACTTTGACTGCACTCAAAGGCTTTTTTCTGTGAACGCCCCATCGTTTCACAACTTTTCTCCTCTACCAGTCTATGCCCCTCTTCCTTGTTTCCCTTCTAGAAGCCTTACAACAGAATTTAAAACTAGGCATAAAGGCATAATTTTTTCTTTTAAATGGAGATGACTTAAGATGTCATTCTTATTATCAGTTTGCTTTGTCTTTATATTACCATTGCTTCCTCAAATTTGTAAGGGAAACTGACAAAAATTTGCAACAATTATTCAAATTTCAATTCTGCATATATTAAAGATACAGAGTAGCCTTTAGAAAAATACAGTTCTTAATTTCAATGAGTTCCTTATTCAGTGTTGAAAAAAAGGAATACTTCTCTGATTCTCTTGTCATCGCTATTTTAAGAAAGAGGCCCTAGGATGCACAATTAACCTTGCGATAATCAATATTTAACGGTGATCTTTCTGAAAGTACAAAGGCAGTCTTTATAGCAGTTTGGTCTTAACTCCTACGCACATTTTGCCAGCAGATAAGTCTCTGAGGGTCTCCTCAGAGGTTTTCAAAGTTTCTATTTTTGCTGCTGTCTGAAAAAAAGGCACTAAAATGTACTGGCCTTCAGCATTGTCTCTTTTCTGACAATACATACGAAGTGGCACATTTCTAACACTGCCTCCGGCTCAGTAGTGAAAGAGAAGAAAAATACATAGGAGGTAAAAGCAATTGCCATTCCGCTCTTTTTAATCCATCTATTCACAATTAATATATGTTGGAAATACTAGGTTTAGGTGATCTTTCCAGAGTGATGTAAATTAATTCTTACTTTCTGTCTCTAGGGATGGGGGACACACTCATTTACTGCCACATCCAAATTGCAATGAGCATATCCTCTAGATGACATAATTTAAGCATGTCTTTACCAGTAAACTCATAGCAATTACATAACTCCAGTTAAAAATAACGAGCATAAGCTATTCACTCCTAGAACTTCATTATAAAATATAGCAAGCTTGAAGTTAAATATTAGGGAAAAAAGCTCTCCTGGAGATCAGTTTAAGACTCCACTGATACGGGATACTTGGGTACCTGTGAAATTTCTCTAACCGTGGGTGGTAACCACTGGGTAATCCAGGCTTTCTCACAGATATTTTGGATACATTTTTTTAAGGGCATAAAATCAGCTTGTATACAGTACAAGATCCCTTGAACTCAGACTCCTGCCTCTGACAGTAGCCGACAAGAAGTGCTTACGGAAAGAGTACAGGAAGCAGTGACATATTTCTTTCACTTCACATCCCTGTTCATCCATCACTGGTTGCGCCAGAAGTTGTGTCTGATCAGCTGTGACCTTACCCTTCATGGATCTGAGAACCTCACTAGTAAACCCTTTAATACCTTTATGCTTTTGGCCTCTGCAGCACCGCACGGCAATGAACGTCAGAGGGGTACTGTATGTGTCCCCCTCTTGGACACCCACTGAGGAAAACCTGCTCATTTTCTTCCTATGGCAGAAGCTGCATCCCTTTGCTCCACCACTGTTGCATTTTGCTGTACTCTTCATTTCTTCTATAACCTTTCTAGAAAGCAGGGAGGCTGAAGGGGTAGAAAGGGAATAGGACTACATCCACTATTTAAAATGCAGCCACATCATAGTCTTATATAGTAATATAATTATTGTTTTCTTCTGTTTCTTTCCCCAGAAATTCCTGATCCTCTTCTCAATCACTACTGAGCACTTCGTCAATTGCTTTTATAGGACTGTCCCAGTCATAATAACTAATGTGATCTTGCCTGGGCAGCTTCGCCCCAGGTGATTTTTACAGCTCCTGCCAGCCCTGCTGCTCTGCAAAGCCGAGGTACGCCAGCAGCCAGGCAGGTTCCTGGATCAGAGACTGCAGTAACAGCTTTATGAGTCCTGCTGTGGGAAGTGTGGTGGGTTAATCTGCTAGGTACTGTCTTCAGCTCTTTTGTACTCTAGTGGCTAGATCTGAATTCCCTGTTGTCAAAGATAATATTTAAGAAATGAAACTTTAGTAATTAGGGGCAAAGCTACTGGCTCTTGAGGTTTTTGATGGTGGAAAAAGGATCATTAAACACAGATGATGCTCTGGGATGGAAGAAAAAACAGAACTAGCAGTAAGGGCTAGCAGTAACTAGCAGTAAGGCCTAGCAGTAACTAGCTAGCAGTAAGGGCTATGTTCTCAGCAGATTACTCTAGCAGAGGCCAAATGCCAGATGTGGGTGGTTGCTGCAGTAGCTATGCCCTTCAACTTCACCTGCCCAAACCTCCATGCCAATGCAGGATCCAGCCCCTTTCAAGATACTTATTGGCAAGAAAACTGCCGAGCATGAAGGAATTACACTCTAGTGGTTTGTTATTTTCCTCACAACAAAATTACACCTCTTCTTTGGGTACTTCAGACTTCATAACTTCGACAGGGAGAACAGTATTTACACATGCAGTAGTATATGTGTATGCTTCCACAACCACACAGGGTGGTGAAAAATGTAGGAACATATCCAAAAAGATAGTGAGAGAGGCACACTGCTTTTCTCCTCCTCAGGCCATTGCAGGACCACTGGGTGGTTTAAGCGAGAACCAAAATACAAGGAAGAAATACTCCAGACTATTTTTCCTCAAAGCTGTCCTGAGAAAAGCAAAATAAACATGCAGGCTCACATAGCAGTAAAATTCAATGGATTGTGAGCAGCAGTACTGGACTGTAACACAGCTGAATTATTAGGCTTTCAATATATTTAGCTCCCAGTTGAAGTGAAAGATGAAATATTTTATCAGACCTCCACTGTGTCTTTTTTTTAGTTCTAGAATGACGGCTTTTGGATACTCCTGACAGATACTTAAAAGAGAAAAATACTTACTCTCTCCCATAATACTTTGGTCTGTTCTCCACCTAAATTTTGAAAGAAAGGAAAAAAATATTAAAAATATACTCAATTTTAAATAAACCACATAAAAAAATAAATTGTGCTTGATTATTAACAAGGACTACTGCACCCACTTCAGTTCTGTAGGTTCAACACTGTGACCAGAACACGACTACATAGAAGAATAAAATAAAACAGAAGAGGGGGTTTTATTGATGGATTTCTGGGAAGAATAACACGTATCAATTGTGAAAAAACAGAATTACCCATAACTGCATAAAATCTGATCAAACTGATAAAGAATGGTTTACTGCAGTTAAGTAAGAGTATTTTTGTTATAAACCCTTCAGTTTCTTTTGCCTATATACAGCAACTGACTCAAGACAAAAAGCTTAATATTCTTGGAAGAAAAAGGTTCCTGACTTTAGACCTAGTTTTAAACCCCTCAAAGGTCTCGAGACCTTGCTGGCCTGATCCAAAGCACGCTGGAAGCTGCTGGAAGGACTCCCCATTGCTTTAAAGGTCTTTGAGTCAAGCTTCGGGGATGTCACATCCTCGCCCGGAGACTCCGGAGACTTCTGACCCTTTGACCCGTTGTCCCTCAGACCCCCCATCTTTCCCCCAGTGCTCCCCAAAACCGGGCTCCCCCCAGCCCCGGCTGCTCCGTTCCCGCCAGCAGGGGGCAGGGCTGACCAAGCTTTGCCGCGGGGCCGCCCGACCCTCTCCCCCGTACAGAGAAATTCCACATATATAGAAATAGATACGCAATCATTTAAGTGTCCTTATAAAGACCTGCTCTCCCTGTGCAGTTATGGCACTTAGCAAAAGTGTCACCTTGCCCGGCTGCAGCTCCAGCCAGCATTTTCATGCTGACAGAATTTAAGATAGACATAAAAGTTTCATGATTATTTAAAAAAAAAAAAAAAAGTATGGGAGTGAGTAGACGCTGTCGTAAAGCTGTCCTTCTGTCCTTTATTAATGAGATCGCTGCTTCTTACATACCGACACACATGCAGGAAAATTGCATTTTCAAGACTGTTTCGTCCCTTAGTATAAACCCAATGAATTTTCACCATTTTATCTGCGTGGAAACAAGCACCCTTCTTCTCACTTTGATTATATTCTCATTATTTCACTCATAAAAACTTTAAACTGATGAAGGTTTTTTACTTCTGAATACCACACACATAAAGATCACATTTTTATTCAATTATCTACACGCCACGCATTAAATTGAAACAGCTGATTTTCTACCCTGCAGTCACTACGGCTACGATACAGTGCAAGATGAACAAAAGTCTGTAAAGGATAATGAGAATCTTCAATGCAAGACCTATGGGAGTTCAATCAAGTCCTCACTGTGCTTCTTTCCCAGCTCGGCATTGCTCTGCTAGCACAGCACTAACAATAGCAGTAGCATACCCTTCAAACTCCTGCCTAGGAATAGTACCTTGATGCAAACATTTTCTGAGTTCTGAAGGGCAGGAATAAGAGGAAAAAGCAAATGCAGAAGTGAAGAGAGAGCAAAATCAGAGGAATTGCCAAGTGCAGGTGCTGTGTTCCAATGTGCATATATGGCATCTCAGAGAAGAAAGTATATTCACTTTTTTGAACTTTTTAAGCAAAAAAAAAATCAAAGAAAAAGCCATTTTATCTCAGAGAAGAGGTTGTTCATATGTTCATCTTCAGTAGCACTACATGACTTTATTATCTTGGAACTATGCTGCCTTCCTGTCATCCTTATAGACCTTAATGACCCTTTAAAGCATATATTTAGCTGGGAACTAAATTAAAAATGTGTATCAGAAGCATGACTACCACATGCAATCTTCTCTTTCATGGAAACAAAGGTCACTCACTACACTGAAAATGGTGACAAGGAATGAACAGATAAACTTTCATCCCCACAGAAAGCCAAACAAAACCTTTACAATGCAGAAATAAAAGATGACTTTCATCTAGGATTCAGAATCCGCTTCTATTAAAAAAAAGAGACTTGCCTTGATTTTGTATGTATACACAGAATAACCCTCAACACTTTCAATCTACCACAGAAAGAGAAAAGAATTAGCACTCAGCCTCAAAATCACCTGTAAGCACAAGTTCCCCCCAAACATAAATACACACACACATATATATATGTAAAAACTATGTATATAAAGCATAAAAGTAATCTGGAAATAACTCCTTCAGCAAATGGAGGCATGTTTTCTATCCTTGTCACAACACCCTTTATACAAAAATACAAAATTTATCTGTGAAATTTTTATCATTTAACTAGTAACTGACTGAATTGCCCTAGACATGTGATTTCTGTTTACCCTGCTGTTCATGAGCTAAAAGATTCGCTCCTCTGGGTATCCACTGAAAGCCCATCAAATTCTATATTCTTCCTCTTCTTTCATAAAACAGAAACCTTCACTCTCAGCATCTTTTAACTTCCATGCAACTTAGCTTTAGGAAAGAAAAAAAAGTCGAATTTCCTGAAATGAAGCTCCACCCAGGTGCCTCAGCATCTAAAACTTCTCTCCTGTGCTCACCGCAACCTTTCACCTGAAATAGTTATTTCGCTCCTAAGCAACTTCAGCACCAGGAACAAACACGGGGAAACAAAGTTAGAGCAAGATAAAAGATCAAAATAACATCAGGGTCTCTAGATCAAACCCAGAATGTTGGACTGAACTTGGAAATAAACCAAAAGCCTGCACAATTGATGGAGCAGAGGCTTAGAAGTATCAAAGGAGCCAGTAGGTCTGTTTTGCACCGACCACAGACTCTGTACGAACTTCAAGGGAAATTCTATAAATCCCAGAAGGCAAAGGTGACTGAGATTCAGTTGGGATTAGCTTTCCCTCTCCTGCTATAAATGGGTTTGCACACACAAAGTCAGGCAGATCTGCCTAAGAGAATTCTTAGTGGTGGAAAGAACAGAAAATCCACAGATAAAAAAAGGGACTGTTTCCCCATAGTAGGAGCCCAGAATAACCAGCCGTATTCTGAGGACACACACACTTGGGTACTTTTCATCGATAAAGGCTATGAAGGACACTTTCATCACTTTCCATATAGCCCTCACAATTTTCTTGCTGAAACAGGGGCCACCTTTCCCAGGTCACCCGTTGGTTTTCTCCATCACTCTGGCCCATCTCCCGAGACGTTGAGCAAGGGGTTTGAATCATTTAGGACTCTTATGCTAATAGCCAAAAACAAAGTACAAAACTGAGGAAAATTATGTAAGGCAAATAATAGGTCTTCACCAGTGAAAATATACTTTGCCTTAAAGCACTCCACAGCTTGCTTTTACTACTCTCATTCAGAGGATATATTAAATGGGTTCTCTCTACTAAAAGTAAGTAGCAGCTTTCAAAACACATGTGAGATAGTAATTTTCTGGCTTAGAGAAGGGTATTATTGCCAAACTCAAACAAAAAATATTGTTGCAGAGAAGCCACTTCTGGCCGTTGTTCCAGAAACCATGGGGAAAACACTGAAAATTACTACTGAAATTCATAGCTGTATAAATTCTGAATCATCAGTGAGTGACAAAATTGTTTGAAGTCAAGTTGATCAAGAAACAAAATCCATGGTGAAACACCCTAAATCACTTCTAATCCAGTACTCTTAGAAAGCCAACAACATTCAATTATCTTGAAGCACATTCAAAACGAAGTGAAACCCAGCACCAGCACTCTCTAAAGGCCTTTGGAAGCTCGCATCTGAGAGATTCTGTATACTCCAGCCTTGACTCCCAGCCTGTTAAACCTGAATTCCTCTCCCCATCTCCCCCAAAAAAGCCAATGGCGCTGACTTGTACATTTAGTCTAGTTTTACAAGGTTTTTTTACGTTACAGCATATTCTTCAATGTGTGGAGTTAGTTGTACTGCAGCTTGAAGTCAACACCGAGAAGGAAATATATCTTCTTCAAAGAAAGCACACTAGCTATCTTAACTAATTCAATATATTACGTTTACATGATTTTGAAGTTTACTGAATTTTAATGCCCTGGGATTTGTGGGTCCTCTTTTGGCCAGGGTGCTTTAGCCCTAGAATGACATACTCCTGCTAATGTACAGATCATTGTATTAAAACCCTACACCACTCTGCAAGATAACTCATAACAAAACTACTGGGAATCACGCAGGCAGAAGGTGAGCATCCCCTAATGTGACAGATTTTCATTGCAAGCATTGACATATCCAAGCCACACTGCACTGAAGGTTTGAAGACACCCTAAAGAATTCTTTCTGCATTTAGCACTACCACAGAAATAAGATAACTCTAATTTCAGAAACGTGTAATTTGTCTTCCTCTTCATTGCACATGACATATTTCTGTACCGAGTAGCCCAAGCTGAACTCTAGAAATGTTGGACTGAAAATTTAGAAATCCCTCTAGGACAGTAATCTGTCTGTAATCCAGAAGGGCTAGCTTGTCATAACACTGAGTATCTACCTATTTCAACCACTGCTTTCATGCACCCATGAAGAGAACATAAAAGGGGAAGGGAAACAACGAGGTGGGTAGTTGCACCTGGCTTGCTGTTCTTCTCTCCAGAGAAAGAGCAGAGAAATAAGATCCAAGAGTTCAAAATGTCTGTGTGTTCACTCATAGCAGGCAGTGAGGCATTTTCTCAAAGGAAGTTTAATCTGATGTATTTTCTGTTTGGAACAATCCTAATTATTTTTCAGTAATTCTAGCTGACTAGATATAAATAGGTTTTTCAGCTCAGTTTGACATGAAGGGAAATAGAAGAGTTGGAAGGGAAGCTTTCAAGACAAGTCCAGTAAAAACAAACTGCACAGAAAAGCAGTTCATTGTCTGAAATGTTTGGCTTTTTGCTGAATTGTCATGTCAACTGCTAACTTTAGCCTTACAATCAACAACCAAAAATGATTAAGAAAGATTGTAAGCCCCCATTAAATGGAACAAAGTAAAAAACTATGTTGTACTTCCATTACTTCTATAATATAAATTTTTTTGCCTCTATATGTTTCCTAAAGAAATTTCTACTCAGAACAGTTAGTT